TCAAGATGATTAAATCAGGTATGTACTGTGTAAAGACTGTTACTAATATTTTATTTCATCAATCATACTTCATCTTTGAGATTATTATTTCTAATTATTTTTATACTGAATAAATTTACTATTTTTGCTTTGTAGGATGTATGATGGCACAATCAGCAATGTACATAAAAAGTCAAACATCGCCATCAATCATCATGAACGTAAAAAAACATTATAAATTAGCTAGCTTTTTTTTCTTATCTTCTTTTAATTTTTGCTTTCTCATTATGTTTTCTCGCGCATTTTTTATTTTTATTTTTTCTAGTTTTTTTATAATTTTGTGTTTCAATAAAGATAAGATCAGAAAACATAGTCTTCTTTTCTTCTTGAAAACAAAAATAAATATTTAAAAAAAGTATGAGCAAGGTGTTATTATGTATCTAAGCTCAAAAACATATATTCAACTTATTATAAGTTTTGCTAAATGTTAGGGTGTAAGGTTTTACAAAACAACTGATAGATACTATCAAGTGAAATCTTAATTGAAATTTATATTAAGCTTTCTACTTAAAAAAGCAACAGTTTTCATAAAATTGACTCGTTCAAATTATTTTTTCATTAATTATCAGAAGTCAATATCTCTTTTTAAAAGTTTATCCTACAGTGTACAACTAGAAACATATTCTTTTTTTACTTCACAAGACAAATTTCGAGATTCCAATATTTTTCGTTGGCGTTAGTATAGTCTTCAGCTATATCGTTTGAATAAACAGTAACAAAAACAAGCATTTTTCTTTCACTCAATATACTGCATCATCATTCGGTTATAATCGCCTTCTAACGCTTTCAATCGCACATGTTTTCATTTTCGAAGGACGTCCGCCATTGTGAGATACTAATGAAAGCAACGAAGCATGGCTTAATGTATACATTTCTTACTCTAGGTGACACGTGTTCAAACGAGACAGAAGCAAGAAGAGAAGAAAAAAAGACGCAAAAGCTATCGATATCAAATTTCTCGATCTGCTTCTAAAAACTTTAAAATTATATTTTATTACTTTTTGATAATAATTTAATTAAAAACAAAATTTTATTTAGGTAGTCGAAAAAAAGCTATTTGTATTTGTTGACTATCATTTTCTTTATTATATTGCTGAATAAATCTTGATGATAAATCATTAGTTGAAATATTATTAACAAAGACTTTTATTATTGATAATCGCTTATTAATATTATACGAACAATTTAATCATATTCCACAAATATATCTATCATTATTAATAAATCAACAATTAAACTTAACATTTAAAACATGATTGCTTGATACAGATGAAGGTATATCAGAAGATCTATGCCATATATTACATACATTTACAGTAGATTGTTTTTCATTAAAAAGTATAGAACTTCATCAAAGGTGCACAAGAATATCATGATTAATTTTATAATAAATATATCATTATTTGTTATTGATCAACTGAATATTAAAATTGGTTCAACGATGGATAGAAAATAATTAAATTAACGGACATGATTTTAAAAAAATAACAATGATGGAAAATTATAAAGCTTTTATTTTTTATGCAAATATATTATAGATATAATAAAAATATTTTAAAATGTGAGTAAAAGTTAAGAAAAGATGCACTCACGCCCACGCCGACCTTTATCGATATGATTTAAATTTAAATAATTTTATTTAAGCAAATAAATACGTCACATTACAGACAAAGAGTTATATAATATTATTGATTCTCACTTTTTGTGCTATTTTGTTGACTTATATAAAGCTAATTAGAAAGAATAATAAGTATTCATATTATTTATAAATTAGACTTACTCGATTGAGTGCATTTAATAATTGATCTATTTTATTAGGAAAATGCTCAACTGGATCAGAGTATTTTCCACGCAATTGTTCATAGCTTTGCTCAAATGATTCGACGTCATATAATTTTCTCCATCCTAAAAATATAACGAAACATTTCTATGACAAAAATGTACAATCTATCTTACCTATCCAACGTTGAAATTTATGAAGCATAAATTCGAAAATTGCCTGATCTTCATTATAATTAACTTTTGTATTCTTGCGAACGATACGAAAACTATCACTTACAATAGTAATAAACATAGTCATACAAATAAATACAACAAATAAGAAGAATAAACTGAAGCAAATGGGTCCGAGAATTGGTGCAGCATTTGTTAATTCATATGCATCAAATTTCATTAACATCATTTCAAAAAGCATTTGTGCTGTATGTAATAATGTTGAACAACTCCAAATTTTATCCATAAATAATAGATAAAAAAGTGTTAGAAAAGCCATAAATATAAAGAAAAACATAATCATAAATGAAAATAAATCTTTTTTTGCATGTTGAAGTGTTTCGGTAAATAATGATAAACGTTGATGAAATCGACATAAACGAAGAAATTTTAAAGTACCAAAAAAACAACAAAACCCAAATAAACAAGTTAGAATATCATTGATATATGTTGCTATTTGCAAATTAATAAATGTATATCCATTTGTTTCTTGAAAACGATTACCAATATCAGTTGATTTTTGATATCGCCATATATAAACTCCTAATATTCCCCATGAACAACCAATAATACCAACATCAATGTACGACCAAAAACGATAAAAATATGAAGATTTCATTTTAATTACAGTTTTTATTTCTTTTATCATATAATATATTATAAATAACATATACATAATTGAACAAACTAATTGAAATGTTGATGTAAAAACTAAAAGCAGAAGAAGACGAAGATTAAGTTTATGCATAAAAAGAAAATCTAACCTTGAAAAGTTAACGGTTCAAAACGATATTGTGGAATTAAACTACCTGTTGATAAAAATTCAACAAGAAAAGTAACTGAAGTAAATAATACAACATTTGGATTGTATAAAGTTAATTGAATAATTACTGCTCGTGTTTGACTATCAATCCAACTTAAACGATGAAGTTCAGACAAATTACTTTGAAGATGTAATAAACGACCTTGATATTCATAGATATAACCACCTGAACTGTATGTTTCAAGATCACCAACGTACATATATTGATCAAATTTATCTCCTGTTTGATACATGAAAGCTTGATCAATCGAAGAATTAGAATATTGTGTTGTTTGATTTATCCATCCGGGTTTATAAGAATTTTTTTCTTCATTAAAAAAACTATAATCTTCGTTACATTTCAATACTATTTGTGTTTGACATAAATTTGATTTTATACGTAATTGTCTCATTATTGCTCTACCAATTAAGCGATTTGATTTATCATTAATAAAACCACTTAAATTCTTAGGTGTATCACCATTATACCATTGTTGAGCACGAATATTTGAAATGAAACTATTTTCTAACCAATTCCAATATTGATCAATCGTAGAAATCTAATTATCGAATATCATATTATATGAAAATGAATACTAAATAACTCTTACTTTTGTATAATCATTATCAATTTGGTTTGTATTTAGAAAATAATTTCGTAAATGATTTACTTGAAAAAAAGCATTTGAGTTCATATTTATATAAGTCATAAGATATATCAATATAAGAAAATAGAAATAGAATACAATTAATTATGTACGTACAGGAATAATGAAAGTTATTATAATTATAAAATTTGATTGTCGTTCTATGTTCTCTGTTAGTGGGAATGTGCTTGATGATCCTGAGGAATTAAAGACTTTATTAATGAATGAATCACAAACACAAATACAACAAAACCCAATGTTCAATTTAGTCTGCAGTTTTATCTTCGCCATTGTGTTTGTTTAACATATCATACGTAATATATTAAATGCAATGATAAATGTTGTATATATAATTCTCGTTATCCAATTCATGCTATCAGAACAATGTCTCTACTTCGTGCCCATCGTGAATATATTCTTTGAATTACAATGACATATAATAATGAACATTACGATACATTTTTATAGAGACCATACTCAATATTATCCGGCGAAAAAAATCTTTATCCAGATGAACATTTATTATCAGGCCCAAATATCAGATGTTCAAAATGCAAATTAACACACATATTTCTATCAAAAGCAGATGAAGTAAGACATAATCAATAGATACATGTGACAAAACCAAAACTTAAACGATCTTTAATTCAAGTCAATGAAATTGTAAAGCGAAGAAAACGTTCTCTTTCACCTGAATATTAATTAAAATGTTTGCACTTATATTTCATTATTGTAAATATTTTGATTAGTCAAGTTAAAAAATCTTAATAAGTTGAACTTATTTAGGTACGGAAATTCATATGCAAAAATAAAAAAAGTTATTATTTTCCAAAAAATTCGATAGTCTGGCGTTAAAAATATTGAATATGAAATGAACAATATGCTTCTTGTATACATATACGTACATGAAAATATAATTAAAAAGAATTGGTTAAGCCGCAGCAGAACGGTATAGCGGCAGGCCGGCCGTCATCCTTTTTGAAATGCTCACTTAATGCATCATCTTCATTACTTTCATTGTTATCGGCTGTTCTACCAAAATTAGTTTTCCATTCCGGAGCGCAGAACCATCGGCCAGAAAAGTCCTGACTAGAATATTGCTTTCATGATTTCACTGGAAGACTCCGGAACTCTTCAGTTTCCGGACCGTACTCTTCGACCTGGAAATCATGCAAAATGTATTCGATCATTAGAACTTACTCATTACGATATTGATTCAACGAAATTTCCAGTAATTATCAAAGGCGATCATCTCATATCTAACACAAATCAAATAACTCAATTGATCATTCGATCAAAATGTAGTCTAGAACAACTGAATGTTGTCATGGATATTTTTGCATACATCAAGTGTCTTCATTCAAATATACACTATACAGATTATCAATCGATCATAAAATTCTTGTTGTTGAAAAATCAAAACAAGCACCGACATCTCTTCTCATTACGTCTCGAAATTGGTGGCATAAATCATGATATAGCGGAAAACGTGAAAGCGTTTATTGACAATGAGAACTTACTCGACAACTATTTGATTACATTCTCGAATGATGCTGTCTACCTCTGGTGGTAGAAACAGTTTATATATGGTGGTAATAAACAATTTTTTTCTGTCTTTAAATGTCATGCGTGTTCTGATAATTTTTGAAATACTTCCAGAAAAGTTGGACTAAAGGGTAATCGAGTATGGAGAACTCGAATCTGAGATTGATTTATTAAAATTAATTAGTTAATAATCAGTTAATAATTGATATTATTAATTTTTGAAAAAAGTTTGACCGAAGGGTAATCGAGTGCCTAGAACTCGAGTGTGAGGTTAATTTTAGTTAAAAATCAATTAATAATTAATTAATATTATTAATTTTAAAGATAGTTTCAAGAAAGTTTTACCAGAGGGTAATTCGAGAATCGATTTTTTAGAAAAGAAATTTTTGGGGCATTTCGATGCGGAGACTTCGAATCTGATGTTAGTTTTATAAAATAATTTTATGGATCACTTTTTTAAAAAGAGAACTAGTTTTTATAAAAAAAAATTTTCATAAAGAGTGACCGAAGGGTAAGTAGGGTGGAAGAACACAAATCTGGTGTTAATTTTTCCAAACTGTATAAGCAAAAAGTTTAGTATTGTAGAATACGATTTCTACGAGAAAGAGCTGAGCGAGTCCGCAGACGAGCGTTACTTGTTTTTTTCTGTCTTTAAATGTCATACGTGTTCTGATATATCTCTTTCAATAAACAATAATCGCATTTATCATAAAGAAACTCGAAATTCAAACTGAGACAGACTAAAATAATAAGATTCATTTATGTTAATATACATGAAATTGTATTGAAAAATATCTTTATAATTACGACATTCTTTAGTTTTATTTTCTTGAACATAAATTTTTTCTTTATTAATTATCAGAATCATTGCCGTAAAAAAATAGTCACTCATCACATATCGATTATTTGAAAAATAAATTAACTATCGAAACCACGTAGTTCATTGATTTGATAAATATAAATGATTGAGAAAGAAGATTTTTCTACATAAAATATTTATTTAAAAGATAGTCTCGATTATCACCAACATAAAAGAAACAAATATCCCTTTTAGTTATTTATAAATAAAGAATATTTATTCCATAGGTTGATCAATTAATTGTTAATCTCTATTTGAATACTTTCTAATTACCAGGGTATTGCTTTTTTTAAATTCAAGTGTGTTGTGCACAAAGAAATTGTGATGATGACTTAATTACTTATTACTATTTTAATTTTAAAGAATTATACTTAAAAACCAATTTAATTCTTATCTTATAGAAAATATATTATTTCAATTTATTCTTCCTGTTTTATTAATTTAATATATACAAAAATAAACTATCAAGTTAGTCGACTTAGATGTATTTCACGAAATTTTTGTTTCTTTATATAGAATTTATTGATCAATCCATGGATCAATATGTAGAAATTCCAATTTATCTTGTGTTCTTTTACGAATACGCATTATTCGATGTCCTGTTGCTTGTGATTCACAAGTAA